CTTACTATCTAATTCATATGACTACTTTAAGATATATATATATACAAAATACCCATTCAAATTACTATATAAACTAAAATTCAAAATTAAAAATCAAGTAAACTAACACAATTATTATAGATGCAACGGTGGAGGCCGGCGGCGGATCCAGCCAGATTTTTTAGTGAATGCACAATTTGATAAAATACTGTTATAATATATAAATTACAATTGTCCTTTACGTGTTTTTATACATTAAAAACGTTTAATTACGGGTTTGTTTCATTAGTCCAGGTTTGGGCGTTTTCACTGTGCAAACAACAGTGAAACTATCCAAACCTGGGCTGTTTGTGTTTCTCTGCATTATTTTTTCTATATTTTTTTTAAATTTTTACAATTTTTTTCAATTAATTCCAATTTAATTTTTAACTTTCATTTCTGTTTTACATTCTTCTTTCTTTGTCAATTTTTTCGGTTATCGCGAGATAGCCCAGATCCTTTCTTGAGGAGGCCGGGGAACACTACGATTAAATCAATTCCGACAAGCTTTTTCGATTAAGCTGTTGGTGGCGATGATTTTACGACAACAGATTGGCACGCTTGGTGGGACACCGACGTCTCGCGACTTTTACATACAACTTCGGAAGAAATTTGATGCCGACGACAACTGGAGAGATGTTTAAAAAGAAAGAAATCGTCGGCAATTCTGCATCGCACCCTGCGCAGCAAGCTACCCCACGCGACGAGGCTTTCGCGGCTGGTGGAAGGCCGGACCAGATAATTAATTTTCCAGCCAGCGTCTTTCTGGAGCAGATTCGTGAGGAAATTCGGTCATCGATTCATGGATCCACCCTGGATCTATCTCGGTACATTACCGACGTTCTGAAACCCGCCATTCAGAACGAGTTTGCGATGCTTTTGGAGAAGGAAACTCGAAAAAGTAAGGCCCGAAAGGTCGATTCCAGCCAGCCAGAGATTTGGCCTACCGCAGGCCTTACAACCAGCTTCGCAGCAGATCCGACCTTCCAAACACTTAAGTATGGACATGTTACTCTGTTGGGTAGGGGTTCTGGATCTGAAGGACCTCGGATCACCATCAAGAAGGTTAGAGAGTCTCAGGCATCGGCAGGAAGACCTTCTTTGGGCCGCCTCCAACCGACAGATTTGGGATGACCTTCGGGTCAGTCCCATCAACACCACATGGGTAAAATAATTTCCTATTTTCTGGAACTACTTTCATCACCCTAGTCCCCACCCCAGGCCTTCAAAGAAACCCAATGGCCGGACAAGAGACTTCCAATGCATGGGGGGCAGGGCGGACATTAATTCCAACACCTTCCTTGGTCCCAAAGTCTTCTGAAATGATTTGGGAACCAGAGGAACCAGTCCCAACACCATCCTCATACACTGGAGGGCAGGGAGCTGCTGGGAAAGGTCGATTTGCTGCTGGTTACGAGGTACAACAACATTACAAATTTTCTGCCTAAACAGACCCCGCAAATCCACTATTCCAGTAGGTTCCAGTCTTCAGAGAGGCTGCGGAAGGCTCTCGAGTATGTTTCCCACAACGGGGACCTGTTAATCAAGCCTTCTCACAGCCTACAGTGCGTAATCTGCCGCCCGTTCATGCAACTCCCGAACAGCCTGGGGGGCAGGCAGAAGTGCTACCACCACCGCCTCAAATTATACATCCTCAAACAATCGAGGAGGCAATGGGGATAATTTATGGTGATCTCATCCGCTTACCGGTAAAGCCACACTACCAAAGATCTTTTCCGGAGTATATTCTCTTGAATCACCCGCTGCTCCGTAAAGCTAGGATGCCCGAATTCGTGCTATTTTCAGGGGAAGATTCCCGCTCCACCGTCGAGCATGTCAGCCGAATTATGGCTCAATGTGGATGAGAGTACGAGAACAATAATTTGTATAAAGTGCAGCTTTTTGCATTATCTTTGACAGGTTTAGCTTTTTCGTGGTACACTTCACTACCTCCAAATTCCATCCACATGTGGGCAGACATGGAGAGGGCCTTCCACGAGCGCTTTTACAGCCCTTTTCCAGAGGTGACCGTCTCAGATTTGACAAATTTACATCAGTGCAGTGACGAATCTGTGGAGCAGTTCTTGGAACGCTTCAGGAGGTCAGAAAGTAGGTGCAAAGTTCGCATACCGGAGAACTAGGTGGTGAATATAGCAATTAACAACATGACACATCAGCTGCGTGAGAAATTGGCCCTCCAAGAGTACCATCACTTCTGGAAGCTAACATCCAAAGCTGCGAAGGCCGAACAGCTCATAAAAGAGGCACAAGCAGCCCAGAATCATAATTTTCAAAGCGGGAATCACCCTGCTCATTCCCAGGAAGAAGCTTCCGAAACTGAGGATGAATTAAATGAGACTTTTCTGGCTGAATCCTGGAGGAAAGTCATCAAGGAAGGCCGCCATTGGCTGGCCGAGAAAAATAAAATGAAGATTGATACTGAACTATTTCCCGTAGCGATAAACACCGTCGGAATACGTCCAACAGGGCCTGGAAGGTCGGAATCAGGATCTGGAAAAAATAATAGAAAGACGAAACCTCAAAAACCATTGTTTGAAAGGCTTTGAAGGTCGATCAAACCTCCGAGAAGGATTTCGGTGCGGAATAAAATTTCCCTCACTAATACAGTTGCCGAAGTGAGTTTCAAAAAGGGTGGCAAGGTCTAGCGAGTGACCTCCGTGGATTAGGTGGTGATTACACCACATCGGACTCGCCTTCCCGAGAAGGCTCCCGAAAATGGAAGTTGGACCAGAAACCAGAAAGAGCAATTGGTGAAACCTTCTACTAGGACCCAAAAGAGGAGAATGCAGCGACAACGCTTGGCCGCTCGCCTCTCCCAGGAGGATCAGGCTGGGGGGCAGCAGGCTTACGACCACGAAGGTCAGACTAAGGGGCAACAAGACGAGAATCAGGAAGAAGCTGCTGCTGGAAGGTCGAAAATAAATAGGGAGGATTTGCGCCGTTAGCTTCGGGCCCGGAAAGAGTGAAGGCTGAAGCCTGTTTTTTAATTAATGATTATTGTCTTGTTAATTCGCAGGGTCAAACTGGGGGACAGTATGTTGAGAATCAGGAAAGAGTTGCCGCTAGTTAGCCGAAGTTAAAAAGGATGGACTTGCGCCACCAGCTTCGGGCCCGGAAAGAGTGGAGGCCAAAGCGTGTTTTAACTAATAATGATTGTATTGTTAATTTTCAGGGCCACGCAGTACTTGGAACAACTGAGACCCTAGGGGATGAGCCGATGATCGGAGCAGTTTGGACGTAATTGCCACCGATCCAGACCTGGAGCGAGCTTTACATTTCGAAGGCGACTTCAAGGTAAAGGTGATTAGAGTTTGTCTCAAAACCGAGGCCAACATACGGCCAAACAACTTATGCATTCGTCATGAATGACGACCTGATCTTGCAAGATCTGAAGGCAAGAGTAGGCAGGTCCGGCTTCCCATTCTTACTAGCCGGAAATCATGTTGTTTACCTTTCCGGAAGGCAAGCAGGGGCTCTTTCCCAAACGCCTCTTTTGGATCAAGGCGAAGATGAAAGTTACTCTCCGATCCGACGAGCTGCTCCACATTTCGAAGTGCAAGATCCACTGGAAGAGGTCAACCTAGGGGCGAAATAGCCTCTTGGATGACGCAAATCAACGCCCGGCTGAATGTCGAGAAAAAAGAGTAGGCCCTGCCCCAAGAGCTTGATGCCCTGCCCGAAGAGAGACTGCAGACACTTGAATGCACTCGACATCAAAAGAAGATGGCTGAATCAACCTTCCAGAAGTGTGTGAGGTCCTAGACTTTTCAGGAAGGTGACATGGTATGGAAGACCGTCATCCCGGAAGGCCCCAAAGATACGAAGTTGGGGAGATAGTCTCCCACATGGGAAGGACCATTTATTGTATCGGCCAAGTCATCCAATGGCGTATATAGGATGATGGAACCCAAAGGGGAGGAGTGAAGACGTTTATTAAAGGAAAATATCTTAAAGGATTTTATCCTTCTCTTTGAGAGATGAAAGGAAGGCATGGTCAGCCGGTCATCGAATGCGATCTTACGGAAGGAGGACAAATATATAGACAAGCCGAGTAACTTTTAACAAAATTATCCATACTACAAGTTAACTTTTGTCCAGATAATTTTTAAGGGGGCATTTGTATACACCCAAACAATTAATTGGAGTCGGCTCAGTGTAGATGCAGTCTAAGGACATTCGCGACCCGACATACGACCCAAAGTTACAGACGGACCCTCTGACCCGTCTAGCCCATCGTTCAAGGAGGTCCATCTCGACTTGGAAGCAGTCCAACAGAGGCAAGAAGGTTAAAGAAGTTGTTAGAAAGTTGTTGGAGCTGTTGGAGAAAAAAATGGGATAAGATCTTATTCAAATAAATTTAAAAAATTTAACTATTTAAAGAAGATCCAAGAGCAAAAAACGGACGCTATGTATCATGAATCTTTTTTTTTTTTTTCATAATTTTTCTCTGCATTATTTTCTCTATATTTTTTCCGGATTTTTACAGTTTTCTTCAATTAATTCAAATTTAATTTTTAGCTTTCGTTCCTGTTTTACCTTCTTCTTTCTTCGTCAATTTTTTCGGTTATCTCGAGATAGCCCGGATCCTTTCTTAAGGAGGCCGGGGAACCTTACGATTAAATCAATTCCGACAAGCTTTTTTGATTAAGCTGTTGGTAGCGATTTTTTTACGACAACAAGTATAAATTTGAAAAAAATAAAAAATAAAAATCCCTAAAGAACAAACTAATCGCTATCAAAGCATCAACTCATGTCCCACGAAAACCCCATTTTCCTAACAAGATTAATTTCCCTGCCCAAACATTCAGACAGATGACCAAAGAGTTAAGCTAAAGTTTCTAATATTACTACCTTATTCAATTCGATGTGCACGGTTTTCTTCTTCTTTAAGTCTATAACCATCCATTCAACTATGCCTATTGAGATATATATATATGTATGTAATCCTCACACACACATACATATAAATGTTCTTTGATGTCCATGGAGGTCTACAAAATTAGGGTTTTATTGCATTATCTTGTGCTATGTATTGCTATTACAACTTGTCATGCGTTAGCTGCCGACAACGATGTAAGGAAGGTGACATTATATATGCATGTAGTTTAATTGTACGAGACGCACGACTGATCGATTCCATCTCTTGTAGGAGTTGTACATCGTATTTATGAGGGATCGCTTAGCCACCGAGAGTTTGACAGTTGACTCACATCTTAAAGTCTTATCATCGTTGAAGGGAAGGTTTGTGTGACTGTTACGTACGTGTAATACTTACTACTTTTCTTTTTTCTTTGAATTATGGGTATAAATTATACTGTACTATTTATTATATTGATCAATTAAATTATTTATATTGTTAATACAGTGAGCATATTGCTTCCAAGTCCCTTGTTTATAGCTACACACAGAGTTTCAATGCGTTTGCAGCCAAGCTCTCGAGTGACGAGGCCAAAATGATGTCAGGTTGGCCACATATATGTAATTATGTATAAAAAAATTCCAAAAATTTGATCTTATAATATGTCCCATTCGTTATTTATTTATGTTCCATAAATTTGTTTTGCCTATTTGGTCTATAGTTTATTATGAATGACATATTGTATTTTGGAACTAGAAGAAAGTTCATGGACAAAAGTCATGATTTTTGTAAATATTAGAATGTGTTAATGTAATTAGATATTTTTGGAAGTTTTTGCTTCTTTTAGGAGCAATACAAAAGTTAAATAGTAAATAGGAATTTGAGGTAGCATAAATAGAATTTTTAGAATATATATTGAACTAAACTTACACACACACATATATATATATATATATATATTTTTTCTTTTTAGTTCTTATATAAATTTTATTTTAAAATTTAGCTTTACTTATAAAATTTAAATGATATGCGAAAGTTGTTTGTTTGTGATATTTCATTTCGGTTTTACTATTCCTAAAATATTTGTCCAAAAATAATTTTCAAATCAAATACCTATGTTTTATTTATTATATTACACTAAAATTTAATTTGACATTCAAAATATCATATCAATACGTATTTATAGCAAATCAAATAACTATTTCAATTCAAAATTTTACTATTTAAAATCAAAACAAAAATCCAAAACCACACAAATTAACAAACAAACACGGTATCTGAATTTTGTACCCAATTGAAAGGATGCTATGTAATTTTTTAACTAATATATATACATATATCCGAATTATACCATTAATCTTACAAATAGTTTTTTTCATACATTTAAATTGAAACTTATAAATTATAAATTTAATTTAGCCTTAAACATAGGATAAGGCTAGTATTGCTTTTCTTACATTATACTCCTTCCGTCCACTATAATTATGTCATTTTTTTATAAATTTACAAAATAAAACGGTATAGTTACGGTTGACGGAATAAGTATAACTAAACTTGCAACTCATGGTTAAGGATTATATATTAATTCAATAAAGTAATCAAGGCATGTTGACTAAATTAAGATAAACTTCATGCAGTGATTAATCTAACGTAATCCCCTTTTTTTTTACTTGATATTGTAATTTATTAGAGCATCTGTGGAGAAACCTCCAAATAACATTTCAAAAAAAAAAATTGAAAAATTGAGGTGAAAACTTAAACAAAGGAGGTTTTGTTGATGTTTAGTGTTCTCACGTGTTCCAATTAAACTGAGTGATGTGGAAAAAAAAATTAGTATGTTTTTATGTATTTTATTTAAATTTTATGTACTTATATTTAAATTTTTATATTATATAAAATTATATATATATTTTAAAATAATAATATTGAATATATAATTTTGTTTAAAATTTAAATAAAATATAGTTAATTTTACTATAATAAATAAATGTTAAATAAATATATTAAATAAATAATTTATTATTATTTAGATTATTTTAAAACTAAAAATTTAATGACCTGAAGAAAAGAGAATTATTAAATTTTATAAATGAGTTTCTTTAATTTGGATGTAAAATAAGATAAGTTTCTTCCCAAGTTTCTTCCCTAATAGAGAATATGATACAAAAAAGATGAGAGAAAAATAAAGAAACTCATGCTAGGATTCGTGGATGTGGATGGGCTATCGGTATCAAAGAACCCTTCAAAACTTTCTCACAATTTCTACTTCATATTTTTCTTTTTTCATATCACATTATCTTTCTTTCACATCACTACAAAAAATATATATATTTTAATTTATATCAAAATAATTAATAATATTATTAAATTTAAATAAAGTTACATCAATATATATATCATTTTGTAAAATTGCTGCAGGAAAAAGAACTAACCGATGCAAATGCCTTTAGTTGCCAAATATATAATATTATATTGAATTTGAAATTTATTTCTCAATTTTTTTATTTTTATTTTAGATTTATTATTTGAGTTTGATTTTTGTTATTCACCAATGCTTATTTTATTTTCTAGTCAATATTGAAGGAGATGAAGTGCTAAAAAAAAACATTATTTCAGTATCTAGCTGAATAAATAAAAATTAATTATGTTAATAGATATAATTAAATTATCTAATAAATATAATTATATATAGTTATGTTTTTAACTATTCAGTATGGTGCTGAAAAAATAATGTCAGCACCAAATCCATGTTGAATCAATATACTATCCCATATGTAATTCATACTTAATATTTAGAAAATCATATTTACAGACAAAGATGAAGTACTTTTGGTATTCCCTAATCAATACCGTAAACTACACACGACCAAATCTTGGGAGTTCATCGGGTTAAGGCCACAATCGAAAAGGAACTTGAAGGTGGAGAGCGACATTATAGTTGGCCTACTTGACACGGGTAATATTTCAAGACAATTGTTCGATTTGTGTTTACTATTTTGGGAATGCTTCTACCATCAATACCTTATAACAATGTAATGTCTTAGGAATCACTCCACAATCCGAGAGTTTTAATGACAAAGGTTTAGGCCCGCCTCCGGCTAAATGGAAAGGAACTTGTGGCCGATATGCCAATTTTTCGGGATGCAACAAGTAAATATTTGCCACATATGTAGTTTTATTTTTTATGCTTCATATAATTCAATTTGATTCTAATAACATTATTATTAGTTCCAATACTGTGAATCATAATTTTATCTGGAATATATATAATTTTGATTCTTTGAATAATATTTTTTTTATTATTTTAATATTTGAAATACACACATGAGAATAGAGTTAAATCTATTTTTTTTAAAGATTAAATAAAACATTCTCACTTTAATAAAAACCTCAATATTATAAATATATACAAATAAAATATTATATCAAACAATGATTTTATTTTAAAATATAATAGAAATTAAAAATGTAAGTATGTTTGTTTCTGGGTTTGAAGTTTTGGCTTTGAATTTTTTAATAGTAAAAAGTTAAATTTGAATAGTTATTTGATTTGATATAAATGAAAGTTGATATAATGCTTTAAATGTAAAATAATTTGTAGTATAATATAAAAAATAAAAATAAGTATTTAATTTGATATTTTTGAAGGGAAAAAAGAATTTGAATAATAAAAATTTGTGGTAAAACTCATAAAAGAATACAAAATGAAACGATGACAATTATGTGAAATAAAAATTATTTGCATGTGTAATTTGAATATTTGTTTAGACGGGGTTGTTTGTTTATAATCTCATGTATGACTCTACTTCTTTGACTTTATTATTATTATTATTATTTTTATTGTATTCATTTCTCAAATATGGATATTTAAAATATAATTTTTCTTTTTTTTTATCAAAATTTAATATTTTTATTTAAAATAGCGAATAAAAATTTATTTCTAACTAAAGTATATGATTATTCTAAAATCACCAAACTACAACAAATTTCACAATACTGTTCATTTATTTATTTACTTTAGCGCTACAATTAACGAGTATGTTCGGTGATGAAGCAAGCTGATTGGAGCCCGATACTTCAAGCTGGATAGGCTCTCGGACCCGAATGACATTTTGTCACCGATTGACACTGATGGCCACGGAACTCATACATCGTCTACCCTAGCCGGAAGCTTGATCCCGAATGCTAACCTAAACGGTCTTGCCAAAGGAACTGCCCGAGGGGCGGTTCCTTCAGCTCGGGTGGCAATGTATAAGGTGTGTTGGGCGAGCACCGGCTGTGCTGACATGGACATTCTTGCAGCTTTTGATGCTGCCATTAGTGATGGAGTCGACATCATATCCATTTCAATAGGCGGGCTTACAGGAAATTATACCTCAGATTCAATAGCAATTGGAGCTTTTCATGCCATGAGGAAAGGGATTTTGACGGTGGCTTCCGCCGGGAATGACGGGCCCTACCGTGGAAGTGTGGTCAACCACGCCCCGTGGATTCTTACAGTGGCGGCTAGCGGCATCGACCGCCAATTGAGGAGCAAGGTGGAGCTCGGCAATGGAGAGATCGTATCGGTGGGTTCATTTTTTTTTTTTTAAATAACGATATTTTTTGCAAAAACTATGGCTTCGTTTATATAAATATACTATTTAAAAGTTTTGATACTATTTATTTAACAATAATATATATTTTTTTTAAATATGAGATTAGATAGTTATTTTTCTTTTAAAACAAATGCTTTTTTTTGACATATTTTTTAGATTTTTTACTATTTATCAATTTTTTATTTATTTAAAAGTATCAAATTAAATATCTATTTTTTATTTTTTATATTATATTAAAAAATAATTTTACGTTCAGAACATCACATAATACCACCATCGTCTCAATTCAAAATTTTTAGGTATTCAAATTTCAAACTTAAAAGCCAACAAACATAAGCTTAATTTTTTACCATTTCTAAAATTTTCAAATCTTTTAAAACTCTAAATAGGCAAACTCGGAATCCTATGCATATTCGATTTTAATATATATGCATAAAATATCATTTAATTTTTATTAGTATTTGACAACTATGCTAGCTAAAATTTTCTATATCTGCCCATAAAATATGAATTTTGTGCTTTTTTTTTTTTTTTAACAAACACAAATATTAATTATGCAATATATTTATATACCATAGTGTATACATTTATGTTCAAATATAGATAATATATGCACAAATTTTCAATTTGAACTATCTTAATATGAATTATGCAACTGAATAATTTTAATCAGATATCCAAAATATGAAAATCACACACATATTTTTAAAACAATACTGACCAATTAACACGAACTTGATTTAAGTCGAGCCAAACTTGAACTATTCGATCCCAATACTCACCCACTTATTACATAACATATATTTATGCATATGATTTCAGGGAATTGGAGTAAACACATTTGAACCAAAGAAAAAGTTATATCCTCTTACAAGTGGGATTGATGTTGCCAAAAATTCAGACACCAAAGAAGCCTCAAGGTGAATCATTTCTAGAATTAATTTGGTTTTCTACTTCAACTACAAGTATTCTCTCTCTCTCTCTCTCTCTCTCTCTCTATATATATATATATATATTCCTGTGTATTATTTGTATTGTAATTTGTGTTTCTTACAAGGTATTGTATCGAAAACTCCATGGATCCTACAAAGGTGCAAGGAAAGCTAATTTATTGCAAGCTCGGATCTTGGGGCATCGACTCCGTCGTTAGGGGTTTGGGAGGCATCGGCACTGTCATTGAAAGTGAATCTTTCCTCGATGCGGCGCAAATCTTTATGGCTCCGGCAACAATGGTTAATGGTACAATTGGAGAGAAAATCAACAACTACATGCATTCAACAAAGTAAGATGTCCACATTCTTACACAAGGCGCTTGTGCGCTCATATTTTCCTAACATACTCTTTAAAAAAAAAATTAATTGTGGAGTTTAGTATGGTTTTTGTGGTCAATTTATAACTCTTGATCATGTATCTTGCAAAATATGTGACTACAATTGTATTATGATATTGTAGGTGCAATCGACTAAAAGAAAAATGACACTAGTTATATTTGTATTATGATACATGAATAATTAGTTTATTATAAAGTAAGTCAAATGTAATGACAGCATAAGTTTTGTTGGCAGATCAGCGTCAGCCGTCATACATAAGACCGAGGAAGTAAAAATCGAAGCTCCCTTTGTGGCTTCATTTTCCTCTAGAGGCCCAAACCCGGGGTCGAAGCATGTTCTTAAGGTTTGCAACAAGAATGTTGGATTTAATTGGGTAGCTAGGAAATTGTTTTTTATTGTATTGTTGATTGTAGCTGCTATATATCAAATGTTGAACAGCCGGACATTACTGCTCCTGGGATCGATATCCTAGCATCGTACACTCCTTTGAAATCATTAACGGGTTTGAAAGGCGACACACAATATTCCAACTTTACCTTCATGTCGGGCACATCTATGGCATGCCCACACGTAGGAGGTGTTGCGGCCTATGTCAAATCTTTTCATCCAACCTGGTCTCCGGCTGCAATCAAATCTGCTATTATGACTACGGGTAAGCTACACAATCATTGTCGATCCATCAAAACTTGGAAAGAACATGTGGATCACATCCATGCTCAATTAATAGTTCAATTTCAATCAAAACCCTTCATTTTTAAAACAATTCTTAATTTTAACATTATTTATACAAGATTAGTGGTTAGAATTTAGTTGAGTTTCAACCTATGATCTTCAGGTTGGATACAATCTCAATTTAGATATAAGCAATAGAATTTTTACATGTCTAGAATTCATAGAAAAAGACATATTCTTTCATGTAGAATTTTTAAAAATTTAGTTCAATATTATACTTGGATGTTTTATAAATCAATTATAATAAATTCTTTAGTGAGGTCTACTTTCATTTTATTAGACAATTACGATGATTATATAGTAAAAAAATAAAATAAAATTAAAAAAAAAAATACAATTGTTTTTCATTTTCTTTTCATTCTTCGAAATATTTATTGAAAAAAAATTATGTCAGAAGAGAAAAATAAGTTCTTACAAAAGTTTACCTATATAACATCTAATGTACAATATACTTCTAAGAAATATCATTTTCAATAAATTTCTTCTTCTTCTTTTTACATGATTAAACTAATTTTTAATATATCCATCCATATAGTGAATACTTCTCTCAAATCTAAACCACTATATACGTAAAATTCTAATTTTCATATATCAATCCATATAGTGAATAATTCTCTCGAATCTAAACCACTATATATATTTTGGTTGTAGCGAAAGGAATGCAGCCTAAAGTTAATAGGGACAAGGAATTTGCTTACGGATCAGGCCAACTCAATCCAACAAAAGCAATAAAGCCCGGACTAATCTATGACATAGATGACATGTCCTACATTCAATTCCTATGTCGTGAGGGCTACAAGGGATCAGCCATTGGAACTTTACTAGGCCAAGGGCCAATAAATTGCTCCAAATTGCTTCCAGCAAAGAGTGAAGATGCTATCAATTATCCCACAATGCAACTAGCTTTAAAAAGAAATCAAGAGACGACCATTGGCGTATTTAGAAGGACGGTGACAAATGTTGGCCCCCGTATATCGGTGTACAATGCTACGATCAAGGCTCCTAAAGGGGTGCAAATAACAGTGAAGCCGATGAGCTTGTCGTTCTCAAAGCCATTACAGAAGAGGAGCTTCACAGTTGTGGTGAAGGCCAAACTAAAGGCAAATGTACTAATAAAATCAGGATTACTTATTTGGAGATGTGGTAATTACACAGTGAGAAGTCCTATTGTTGTTTATGATCCTTTATTTGACCAGTTCGAAGGAACACATTTGCTTTAAACTTGTAATAGATGACTTGTATAATTTAATTCAATCAATGTGCATATATATATATATATGTTAATATTGTAAGTTGTTGTCAATGTACTTAAATTTTTAAACTTAAGCACAATATGATGTCTCAATTCATTCCAAATAGTGAAAATGTGTTGTTAGAAAAACTCTATTTCTCTTTTGGATGCAAATGTTTTCTCAATTTCTCTAGAAAGTCGATTGAGTTTTTGCTGAAAAATTCAACTTTAGTGGTTCCATTTTCATCTTACATCAATTAAAATGTTAATGGGGAGTATAATTTTTCGTGTAAATTTTGTCCTTCCCTTTGGTTTGAAACATCCCGTTTGTGTTGTACTTATTATCTTCTCATATTTTAATTGTATTGTATTTCTTATCTTCTCTCCTAATATAATTTTAGTTGGGGTCGGAGGACGTAAGCATAATTTTGCCGAACCTCGTTAAATATGATATTCTTTATTTTGGCTATGGTGTTTTAATTTTTATATTTGCGGTTATTTATTATGTTTTAATTTTGATGGAGAAATTCTGTCAAAAAGACTATTAAAGATCCAAGGAAATTGAGTTTTAAGTGGGCCTTGTGTCTCCTCCAATTACCTGAGAAGTTGTTTTAGTATTAATTTAGTACAATATTTCACCGTTTGTATAGGGCTAATCCAGTTTTTGCAACATTTGGTATCAGAGCCTTGGTTGCTTAGTATGCTCTGTGGTCGCAGTTAATATGATATTCCACATAAAAAAAGAATCTCGGTTAAGCTGTCTTTATTGTGTAATTTTTTCTAATCAACTATGGAGCAGTAAGGATGGAAATGTTCGGTGAAAAATCAACTTCAAATTTGAAGTTGTTGGTGACGTCGTTATCAAGAACGATGATCACAAATGCCAAATTTGACGTTGAAAATTTTGACGGTATAAATAATTTTGGTATGTGGCAATGCAAGGTGTTGGGCATCTTGTTCCAACAAGAGTTGGATGTAGCACTCGAATAGAACAAACCAGAGGATGTTGATGATAAAGACTGGACGAGAATCAACCGTCTGGCATGTGGCACAATCCAGATATATCTTTCCAAGGATCAGAAGTATCTATTTATGATAGAGACGATGGCGCACAAATTATGGAAAGAACAAGAAGACAAATTCATGAACAAGAGCACAGAAAACAAACTCTACATGAAGACGAAGTTGTATCGCTTTTAATATTTGTCAGGCACCACCATTTATGAACACATAACTAGATTTGATTATCTGGTTACTAATTTTTTGAATATAGTTGAGAAGATAAATGATATTTATAAGACATTGATACCGTTAGCTTCAGTTTTTGATGAATATAAACATATAGTTGTTAGTATGCTGACAGGGAAAAAACAATTTTTTTTAAAGAAGTTACTATTACTTTGTATTCTAACAAGATAAAAAAGAAATATAATTTAAAATACAGAAGTTCGGCTGGTGAAACACACTTTGTCCGGGGTAGTAATAAAAAATACAAGCCAGCAAGAAGAGGCATATCTCAGTCAAGAGACAGAGCAGTAAAAGATGAATCTGGCTTTTGTCACGATAAAGGACACTAGAAGAAAGACTGTCCCAAGCTACAAAAGAAAATGGGAAAGCGGTAGTTGAAACATACATTGCTGATATTAATGAATCAGATTATTCATTAGCCTTGTGCCTCATTGGTGACCTGCAGTGACTACTAGTTGTTGGACTCAGGATGCTCATTCCACGTGTATTACAGAAATGAGTGGTTTGTTAATTTTGAAAATTTTGAAAACTTTGACGGCGGAGTTGTCTACCTAGCTGACAACCAACCTTGCCAGATAACTGGAGTTGGTCCAGTCTATGTAAAGAACCACGATGGAACAATTAAAGTACTGACAGAAGTTCGGTACAAACCGAAATTCGCCAAAAATCTCATATGAGTGGCAGTCTTGGAATCTAAAGGCCATTCCATCAACATTAAGAATGTAATTCTAAAAGTGATCTCATGAGCACTTGTTGTCATTAAAGGTATAAAAAAAATATAACATGTATCACTTTCAAGACAACACAGTGATTGGTATAGCAGCTGCAGTATCAGAAACATATAAAGAAGAGGAGATGATGAAGTTTTAACACATGAGTCTTGGGCATACTGGGGAAAAATCCTTGTAAACTATAACAAAGCAAGGATTATGAGAGAGTGCAAAGTTATGCAAACTTGATATTTGTGAGCATTGTGTTCTGGGAAAGCAAACACGGGTGAAGTTTTGAACAACAATCCATAACACTAAAGGCATTATGAGTTACATTCAGTCAGACGTGTGGGACCAACCAAAACAACTTATATGGGAGGAAGACCATTATTTTATAACATTTTTTTTATGATTCGTCCTGAAGAATGTAGATATATCGTATGTGAAAAAGACGAAGCTTTCATAAAATTCTTTGATTGGAAGAAAACAATGGACAACCAGACCGGGAAGAAGATTAAAGTGCTTCTATCTAACAATGGTACGGAATAAAAATTTGACGCGTTCTAGCAGTACAATAAAAATTCCCACTTTTTAATAGAGAAATTGTAGTATAGTTAGTAGGGTTCTCTCCACAGAGATTGATTGATTTATTTATTTTATTCAGTATGAAGGGGGATTTTCCAATTTTACGTCTAGTCCTAGCTAAAGTAAAGTCATAAGCAAAACAAATCAAGAAAATTACAGAAATCAAGAAAACTAAATAAACACGCCTAGGCCAATGATTGATTTTAGAAGTGAACCTCGGAATCATCAATCACATATTTTATTCTATTGAATCTTTTGATAAATTGGTTATAGAAGCCAACACACGCCTAACTTTCAATTTTTCCTTACTTAATCGTCAATTAAGGTACGACCATTAATTAATTCCCTAATTGAAGAAATAAATCCGGGTACAAGCACAAATTTGAGTTTCCCAATGGCATTAAACCCTAGAAAAGCCTAATTATGATTCACTAATTCCTACGTAGGATTATTGCAATCATATCGTAAATTCTTAAGATGGTTCGTAAGCATCTTATTATCACTAAATCAAATAATCACACAATTACGGATGCAACTAGTTAATTAACTATGGATTATTAACTCAACCTAAATATATCACCACAATACTAGATAAAGAAAATAGCCTTAGGCATGCTACACATAAATTTTACGAATACCAAATAAGTCAATAGAAATTATAAATTAAATAGTCGATCTCACAAAGCCATGAAATTCAAATCTTTAATCAACATAGGAATCGATAAAAGATTTAGCTACTCATTAAGGAAAAAAAAAAAAAAAGAACAACGAAAAGGGGAAAAAAAGCATCTATGTGAGTTTTCTTCTGTCGGGATACTTTCGATTTGTCATTTCCCTCCAAGAATCCAATCTCACGATGCTACCTCTAAAATTTGCTCTCACGCCTCTCTCCCTCGAATCCAGATCGAATCTATGATTGCCTCTGTGTCTCCTCCTTCTTTTTTTTAGACATTTGGGTCTCTTCTTGAATTGGCCCGGCCCATATCTTCTTATTTTGCTTTATCGGTAGAGGGAGTTGGCTTGGTTGGATAACTTTACCACATGTTTGAGGCTTTTTAGATATGGTAAATTTGATTGGGGACATCTTAAGGGTATTCTAGTCTTTTGCAGGTTGAGATGGATCATCCAACTCAAATTTCCAATTTTTTAATCAAAATTCCAAACAGTCCATCCACTCTTAGTCATGGGCATGACTGAGGAGTACGTTTTGCTCTATTTTTGTATTTTGTCTTCTGTTGCATGCTAGCTTTGAATATAAACTAAAATATCATAAAAATCAGTAGAAATCTATTCAAAGCATCAATAACTACATATCAAAATTGCACGAACTAAAATATTGTTGATGGTTTTTCCAAGAGAATATAGGTATATCACATGTGAAACAAAGACGAAACTTTCAACAAATTCCTCGATTGGAGAAAAAAAGATAGAGAACAGACCGGGAGGAAGATTAAAGTGCTTCTATCTGACAATGGTACGGAATATCAAAATGACATTTTTCTGATATTTTCAAAAATAATGCATCTCCTGACATTTCTGTCACACCCCAGCCTGCAAGACACGCAAGACCAGACGTGTCGGAATCGTAGACTAGCGTCACAGGTCAACAAGAGTCCTTTGAGCACATTTTTTTCTTACTCATGTGTACCCTCAAATACTTCTCGGGGGGTCACCCATTCTCAAATTACTCTAGAACAATAACTCTAGAATTCTTTCAGTAGGGCTCCCGAAAGGGAATATGCATATTGTTGACATGAGTAGTCTATTCAATACATTTAATTACTATTCAATCTCGAATGGCCTCGCACTGGCTCATCCACGGTAGTTGGCCAAGCAACGTAACTCCGAGGTATCACATCCTCCTCTGCCTTAGAATGCAACATCCACATTGCACCCCAAGGATCATCAAATGTTAAACCCATCAACAGTCCGATCAATGATTGTGGGCTGTCGCAAGTTGGCTTTGATGCCAACTGTGACACCCTCGCCCGCAAGCCACGCTGGCTGAGTGTGTCAGGATTAGAGTAATTTGAGGATTGGTCACCCCTGAGAAGTCTCCTAAGGTGCGTGGGAGTGAAGACAAAAGTGCACTTGAAGGATTTTTGTTGACTTGTGGGGCCAGTAAACGATTCTGACACACCCGGATTTGTGTGGCTTGCAAGCTGGGGTGTTACAGTTAGTATCAAAGACGATCTGCGACAGCCCACAGTTGTCGATCTGGCTATTAAGGGGCCTACCAGTTGAAGATCCTTGGTGTGTGATGTTGACGTTACATTCTAAAGTGAGGAAGAATGTGATATCCCTAGAGTTGGGATGTTTCTTGGCCAACTCTTGTGTGTGGATGAGCCGGTATTCAGCTATCCGAAGTTGATTAGAGGTAAAACTGGATTGAATAGACTACTCATGTTAACAATATGTAGATTCTTTTTCGGAAGCCCTACTGAAAGAACTCTAGAGTTAAGCGTGTCTGCTCTAGAGTAATTTGAGGACGGATGACCCTTTGAAAAGTCTCTCGGGATGCGCGCGAGTGAGGATAGAAGCGTGTTG